TAGTGGGTGATTGAATTGAACGAAGTTGATTACAATGGTCTTTGTTTGAAAATACCGCGGACTCACTTGGTTCTTCTTTCCGTTTTGGATTTGGGCAGTTCCTCACTGAGAATACTGATTTCACGGTGGTTGGAGTGATTGGTCCTCCTGGTGTTGGCAAATCCACAATTTTGAATGAAATCTACGCCTTTGATGGGAGCTCCCCTGGTTAGTATTCACAGAAAATAATATCATATCTCTGCTTTGGTCTTCAAGAGGTTATAGACACTGATGTGTTGGTCTTTTCTTGGATAATAACAATATGCATAAGAGTAGCAGTTTGGTTGTAGTCGGGACTTTAGTGGTAGGAAGCATGCCTCTGGAATTGGCTGTGTTCTCATCTTCCAATATCAACGAAAGTTTTATACAAGGGTGTTAATTTGCAGGAATGCTACCACCATTTGCAATACAGACGGAAGAGATCAAAGCAGCGGCAAAACATTGTACTATTGGCATTGAACCACGGGTTTCTGCTGAGAGGTTCATCCTTCTTGATGTCCAGGTTCTGTGTGCAGTTGTTATTTTTAGCGTATTTGCTTTTTTTTTTTAATTCTTTAGATGGGGAATCATTGCTTTGTTCTTGTCTCACCACCATTGCTTCACTACAATCATTTTTGATTGGGTATGTAGCTGAAATACTAAAAAAATTGTGTAACTTTTGAAACTAACATTCAACATTGAAATCCTGCTGCAAATTTCCTACGCATTTGTCGATCTCTGTGATGACTGCAAGGATCCACCATCTAGACTTTGCCTGAATAACTTTCAACTGGGAGTTGTCATAGACAAAACATAACTGAAATTATCTGCGTAGATGACTGTAGCTATTTACTTATAAAGTTACTGCAACAGAATGCAATAAATGGGCATTACTAGTAGTTTTGACATAGTATGATATGTACTGCGTAGTGTGTAAAGCTACATAGTATGATATGTACTGCGTAGTGTGTAAAGCATAAGGCCTCTGATCTACTACAGTTTCGTTGTTGTCATTTCAAATCTAATATGCCTTTTAGTGAAGTGGTTACTATTGTACTGATTGAGCTTTAGTTTCTCACCAATATCCGCCTATTCTGCTCTGCAGCCTGTTTTCAGTCCATCCATATTGGCTGAGATGATTAGACCTGATGGTTCATCCTCGATACCAGTCTTGGGTAGTGACTCTTTGTCGGCTGAGTTGGCTCATGAAATCATGTGTATCCAGGTAACTTGGAGACATGACAGAGACATATAACTTGATCAAATATCCAGCAGTTCACTTATTGGTTATCGTTATTTTTATCCTACTGTTTTATTTTCTATATGCTTTCCTTTCCCTAGTGTTGCTCCTAGTGTTGGGTGTTTACTTGGGGTAGAGATCTAATCTAACCGTTTTCATTTTGGGCTGGTGCAAGGAACAATTCTAGCTTGGTGTCCTCTTAGCATCCATTTGCCATGTGTTGCTGGTGGTATCTGAAGGAGTTCATGAAGATAACATGTGGCAATTGATGTCAACGGTATTTCTTATCTTAACCTTGTTACGGTTTAGTATAGTTTTGAATCTGAAATGACGGTGGTTCTCTATGAAAACAATATAGCTGGCAAAAGGCTCTTTATTTTCATGCTATTACGATTCATATTGTTGATAGAGTTAACAAACAGATGTGTGACCTATCACTGGAGCGACCACCAATCTAAGTTAACTTGAAGAAAATACTATGTTCCAGCTGGTAATGTTCCACCATACTTAATAAAAGTATATCTGAAAGTTGGCGAACACAATACTTATTAATCGTGTAGTCCTTCATACATATTTGGGACTTTTAGACCAGATAATCTGAAAACACTTATACTGGGAGTGTTGAAAAAAGTGCAGTATCTAATTATAGATAAATTTCAAAGTATCTGAACGTTAATATAGTAATGCTTGCAAAAAACCTGGAACCATGCAAATTTTGCTCCTAGCAATTGATGTAGAAACGCCTGCGTGGTAGAGGATAATTAATGTACATATATATATAACTAGCTGCTCTTTGTCTGCAGGTGGATTTGTTGAAACATGCAATACCTGATCCATCTTCACCCACACTGTCCCGTCTTCATATCTCGGAGATTGGGCCTGAAATGGAATATAAGGAAAAATTAACCGAGGGCAGTGAATATATGGCCACTCCCATATTTGTGCACTCAAAGTAAGTTTCCCTGTGTTGATGTCGTGATTTGATCTCACCATAATAGTAAATCCTTTACTCTTGCCAACTGATGTACTAACCTTCTATTGCTTGTTTTATACAACAATGTTTGTTGAAAGTCTGCTAATTGAATGCGATTCTATCTTAGCTATTGCTGAAGAAAACTTCTTTTACTTGGAGAAAAATGTAGTCTAGTCAGTATGTTAGATGAAAAATAGTAGTGTAGTTCTAACAAATTTGTGCGTTATAAGCTTACCACTTGTCCTACTTCATCTTTGCAGGCTTCAGGATCAAGATCTCTCTCCAAAGAATGTTTTGCTACTAAGAAAGGCACTGGCGCAGTATTTCGAATCAAGTTCGTTTATGCTAGGAAGGAGTGGGTCGGAGTTAGCTGAGCCAGTTTCTTTTGTGATTCCATCTAGGAGCTCGAGAAACCAGCACGAGAGTTATCAGTTAGCAATGTGGAAACTAAGGGATCAGGTATCCTTCTCTTTCCCCATCTCTCGGACTTGTGTATTATCCACGCATGTGAACAATCATCCTCATTAACACGCTCGAGAACTACCATTCGGGATCGTGTTGAATTTACCACAGCACGTGATTGACTCTTTAAATGTGCACGGCCTAAGGCCCTGAGTGTTCCTATAGATGTTTTGTTTGCACCTGATGGGGTCCATTCACTGAGAGGCTGTTTTACTCTGCATCTCAGGTTTTGTCTGCCAGGTCCAAGTCCTTTTCAAGACCAGTCTCGGAACGCGAGTGGCTTAAAAACTCAGCAAAGATATGGGAGATGGTGAAGAATTCTTCGATTATTTCAGAGTACGGTAGGGCCCTTCAAAATTCCGGTATGTTTCGAAGGTAGTAGACCTCCACTTCTAGTCAGAATCTTCATGTTATAGGTTTGCTGGTTTGTTGTACACTAGACTTGCCTTTCTTCTCTGTATTAATTGAACTCGAGATGTTTGTGTAATTTGTTAAATTCCAAGTTCTTGCCATGAATTGTTTATCCTTTTTTTGACACAAAAACTTTTAAAGCTAGTGTACCTTTATCTGTTTGTGTTTGGTTCGATGAATAAATGTCTACTAAATGTTATCTATTGTGACTGAAACAAATGTCTTTCCTCTCTGCATTAGGCCTCTCTATTCCTTAGTCTCCAAGTGAGACCAGAAAGATTTCGCCATTTTCAGTAGACCGCAAAATCGGCGTATGTAAACTTGATTTATCGAACTATGAAGCATTTAAAAGGGTCAAAAGTCAAAACTAAAGATTGGTCGTGGATTATACCAAATCTACTACATCTGAAATCTAAAACTGATTCAGAAAGAAAAAGAAGAGTCATTTATAGGATTCACTTGTCGAATTCCCAAATGACACCACCATCTTGTTTGACTTTGTTGTTGATCCAAGCTTCAAGAAGCATACCAGCACCAATCCCACCAAGTATGAAACTTCCATACAAGGCAAGAGCCTTAGGCCATGGCTTTCTCGGGAGGAAGTAAGCTTCACCATTTTCACACCTTCTTCTGGTTCTCACTCACACCCCACTCTTCTCCTTTCCATGCCTCTTCACTTGCCATGTCTTATCAATCACACAAGCCCTGACAAATCTCAATTTCAGTTTTGATCGTGATTCATCCAAGATTTGATCAAAGATGATGGTGAATGAATAAGGGCACACAAAAAAAGTGTCAACGTCTTATGAAAATTATAATCTAATTAAGGCCCAATAATCCTTAGCCCATTTAGACCCAATTCGATTAGTTTCTCGCTGCGTTTTCGTCCTATCAGAACAGAGATAAACGCGCGCGTGGACAACTTTTTTCTTCTCCTCTTTCCTTTTTCGTTGACGCATTTCGTCGATCAAGTTGAGGACGACATAACTACGCACATCAAGATTTCGTCGATCTCACTTGTGAAAAATCTTCATCGTTCACGTGCGTACTACTCTTCTAATCAACAAAATCTGGTTCGAATCCGTTAAAACTTCTCGTATCTTTAGACCCCCAGTTTTGTAGATGGTTGATTGTTTTTTGCCTCGGATTTTGATTTGTTGGGGTTTAAATATCAAGATTTTCGCTTACGAGGATCCTGATTGCAGACAGATTCAGTCATAATTAGCAATGGAATCGGAGTTGATACTTCATGAAGGTGGTTGCCATTGTGGGAAAATCAAATGGAGAGTGAAAGCATCAAGAAATGTGGTGGCTTGGAGCTGCAATTGCACAGATTGTTCAATGAGAGGCAATATTCATTTCATTGTTCCTTCGAGCAACTTTGAGCTTCTTGATGATTCCAATGATTTCATCACCACTTACACTTTTGGTACTCACACTGCCAAGCATACCTTCTGCAAGGTCTGTGGGATCACATCGTTCTATATCCCAAGGTCCAACCCCGATGGGATCGCAGTCACGGTTAAGTGTGTCAAGCCAGGGACACTGGACCACGTCGAGATCAAAAGCTATGATGGTCAGAACTGGGAAATGTCACACAGAGAGACCGGTATTGCCTCGTTTTCCAAAGAGTAATGATAAGAGATCAACTCAAGATTGTAATCAAGAACCTTAAAGCAATCATCAAAATCTCACCTTTAGAAATCATAGGGAGAAACAAATTTGAAAATTCAAAGCTTTTTTTGCATAAACCCTTTTGAGAATAATGCTCAGGGTTTTGTGTGTTGTTCACATCTACAACTGCAGATACCTATGTTGATGATAAGTTAATATGATTTTCATTTCTTGTTACCTGTATCGGTTCCAGCTAGTTTTTTTCTTTGTTGATGCTCCGCAACTTTGTAATCAATGACCTCTCTGAAAAGGTTTGCGTCCAACACGCAGTTTGCACTTCCGTACACAGCAGCTTGAACGCTTGCCATCAATTTTGCAATTTCTCTACCCGAAAACCCTTTTGTTTTCTCAGCAGCTTCCTTCAGGAGATCCTCGGTGATGCCTCTTATCTCAATCTTCTGCTGATCCTTTTTGAAAAGGCTTTGGAGCAAACCCGGCTTTTTTAGATTAGTCTTAGATATGTACTTGTCTAGGTAGAGGTTCAGAAGCTTGAAGCGCTCTTCTTCTCCTGGCAAGGGGAACTCAAGTGTCTCATCGACACGGTCAGACACTGCTGAGTCTAGATCACCAGGTCGGTTTGTGGCAAGCGCTAGGACTATGTCTTTGGACTGATCACCCGTGCGGAAGAGGAGTGCATTTAGTGCACTCCTTTGAGCTTCACTCATGTATGTTTTGTTCCGCCTGTCAAATTTGCAATCAAATCAACACATTAAAAACTAAAACCCCTGAGTCAAGAATATCATCAGAGCATCAGATTTGTGACTTACTCGCACAAAAATGCATCAGCTTCATCAATGAAGAGTAACAAGCCTCTCTTAGATTTTTTGGACCAGTCAAACAGTTGGTGTATCTTTGTAACAGCCTGAGCTCCAAGTGGGGCAACATCCCCACCTGTCATCAACGCATAATCCAGACCCTGAATGGTAACAAATCAAACAAAGAGTGATTATCAAAGTCAGAAAACTGAGATTCTGCAATTAAATTATGCTCCTAAGCAACCTAGAACTGAGATCTCAGTTTTGAAGATGACATGCATCTATCTTCATAACTAACAAAATAAGTATAAGCTTTAGAAATGAAGAGAATACATACAGATTTACGAGCCAGCTCTCTGGCAGCCATTGTTTTCCCTGTTCCTGGTGGACCGTAGAAAAGCATATTTCGGAAAGGTGCTTGGTGGGCTTTTGTGTTGGCAGTTGCATTAGCTAGCTGCTCTATTCTCTTTTGAAGAGAAGGATGCAAAATTACATCACCAAACCCTTTTCCATTTGTGGATGCAGACACCTTAGCACCACCCCGCAACGTGGAGAAGGCACGAGAAATCGAACCAGACCAAGGGTACTTTCCTCTGGAGGATTCTCTAATTAGAGATGGTTGTCCTAATATTCTATCCACGTAGCTCCAGATAACCTTTGCACCTTCTCTGCAACAAGCAATTTATAAGCTAACTAAATTCCTCAATCTTTAAGAAAATTATTTTAGGAGGAGTTGTGTCCTCAAACATTTTTTAGTATTTACCTCGTTGTGTAGATCCCAGCTGCAAGAGCAGTGATACCTCCAACAGCAACAACCAGCTTATTTTGATCCGTTAGGATGGTACGCAAGCCCCCTAGGAAAAAGGATAAAGAGTCAATCCCCTGATGAAAAGTATCGGATTAGGAGGTTAAAAATCATAGCCCAAAAGAAGGGGAAAGCCACCAATAGATGGAGGTGGTCACAAGCCTATTATAATGACAAGTTACCTATTAGGCACTAATTACTACTAAGATAAAACTGCCAAAGAGAAGCTTCCACAACGAATGAAATGAAACAATAGAGATATTATTTGTTACTAATGTCACACCTCCAATATGATCGAATGTAGTATTTATGGCAGAAACCCATTTCTCTCTCTCTGCATTAGCACGATCAACAAGCATTCTCCTGTTGACATCTTCAGAAAGCTTTGATTCACGGGCTCTCCCTTCAGCTTCTGCCATAGCTTTAACCCTGATTGTCTCACGTTCAATCTCAGCCTTCTCCCTCTCCGTTTGCCGTCTCTGAGCTTGAATCTCTTCCTCGGTAGCTCGTCGAGCTACTTCCCGCCTAATTGCTGATTCTTCTTGCATTTTCACAAGTTCTTGATTTCTTGTTCTCTGGGCCTCATTCTCAGCCTGTAACAAGATATGCAGAATAAGTTATTAGAAAGAATAGAAGTTCTCGATGCTGAATAAGAAAAGAAAAGGTATTTGTCGAATCGCATGCCTGCATCCTTTTTCTTGCTAACTCATCTTCATAGCGAGCCATCTGTGATTTTGTTTGTGCTTGGTGCTGAGCAAGTTTCTTCTGTTCCTCGTATATTACCCGTTGTCTCTCCTGTGTCATGGAAAATGTCAGCCACATAACTTAAAACCAAGAATCTTCAAAGCCGTATAACGAATAATGCAAGCAAAACGCAACTAAACCGAAGTCTCGAGAAAGCCCAAGGTAATCAAAATATATAGTAGACAATGAAGTTAAGAGTAAGTTGATCTCACAGCTTCAGCTTGGGATTGCACAGCTTTAAACTCTTGAGCCTTTGCAACAAACTCAGCTTGTCTCGTCTCTTCTTGTGTTTTAATACTTTCAAATACCTACCAGAAAACCAAACATTCATCAATTGTGAGGCCAAAGCATAACTGACAAATACAGAAAGAAAAAAACAACACTTTTGGGCATCAAAACATATCTTCCATTAGATTCATCAACCAAATTATAACAATCTACTTGAGAATCTCTGATCAGATCTCTTCTCATATCTATGTACAACAACAAAAATAAAGTTTTATCCTTTCTTAAAAACCCAGAAGAAGAAAAAAGCAAAATTTGCAAGACCTTTTTGGCATGAGCGGAGTTGTTTATCCCCTTCAAGGCCTTTGCACCTCGCTCCAAAGCCTCTGGATCAAACCCAGCAGAAGTAGTTCTGGGATTATCGTTCCGAACCCGAGGAGGAGCATCGGATTCTTCGCCGGACACAGACGGTTCTTTCTGAGATTCCGGCGCCGGAGGAGTGGAGAAGCCAGAGAAGGTGAAAGGTCCATCTGCAGCAACGAAATTAGACTTGGAGAGAGAAGCGGAAGCTGCTAAAGCTGAGATCAAACTAATCGCACATTTCTGAGCCATCTTTTTTCTCCAAGTGATTGAGAAAAAAAAGAAAGGAAGACCAGACCAAACTAGACTAGGGTTCTTCCGGATTCAAGGGGATTTAAAAAATGCTGTAATTGGTGATTTCTGTGGAAGAAATTGGCTTGATGAACAAGAAAATTCCAAAGCATAAATTTCTATTGCCATAGAAAATGGAGGCAGAGGAAGTTGTTGCCAAGGTTTTGGTAGGGTTTTCTTTGCGAACGAAAAAAAAAAAAAAAGAAGGATTTTATATCTCGGGTCGGATCTGGATATTTGACCCGAAACCCGCCTCGTTTGGTCCATCTAAATCCACCGGTGGGTGTTTTGGCCTCTTTACAAAGAAAATTGTCAATGTACTTTGATGTGTTTTCATCCGTTTTCTAATTTTATTTTGTGATATTAAACAAACTTCTCGTTTTCTAATTACAGTTGTAATCTATACTTATATTTGCGAAGTCAAAAATCCTATGTGGCATCGTGAGAGCCTCTCTTAGACCTTACGTGCCGAAAATACCTTTAATGAATGTCGAAATTACATCATTTGTCATCAAATTTTCGTGAGCCATATTTTGTTCATCCAAAATAATTTGGTTTGGCCCAAAAAATTATTTTAGCCCATGTTTATTAATCGGTTTTGGGAAACCCTAATTGATACCTCCATAATTTCTTATATATAATCATTTCGTAAGGCTTTCTGTTTTCTCCAATATTAGGTTTTCAATTTTTCTTCCTTACTTTTACATTTTCTCTACTTTTTTGTTTGCATTCTCTTCCGATGAATTAAAGCATATCATAAGTTTAGTTAATACGTGTTATGATGTTTAGTTGATATTGTCATCGGCTTATGTGTGTCTCGAGCAAAGAAAAGTTCCTGGAATCGGTTGAGTACATCAGTAGGAGTTCGATGGTGATAGATGAAGAAGCCGAAGATCACCGTTGGGTAATCGTGGTTTCGATTCTGGTCCGTAAGATCATCGGACTTCTCCGTACGCCTAT